CCCCCTTGCCCTCCTAGCCGCAGCCCTGGGGCGACCCCCGTGCCGCTCCGAGGGTGCCTGGGGCTCGTTCGCTCTCTGGGGGCACCCCTCCTTCCCTATGCTCCCGGGCTGCTCTCCAGAGTTTCCCCACCCCCATCCTCAGAGAACCCCCGTTCCCTCTCTTCCCTGACCTTCGCGTCACCCCCTTTGTCAGGGACCCCCTTCCAATCCTGCATCTCTTTCTCTCTTGACCGGACCTTACCCCTATCCTTGCCTCGTGCCCGGGACCTCTCGCCCTCTGGCGTCCCCTGAGCCGCACTCTCCTTTGGAGCCCCCTCCCCACCTCGCCTCGCGGTCCCCCACTTTCGGCACCCCCTCGGCGCCACCCTGATGATCCCCTCCAAGGCTTCGGGACTCCCCCAACCCCAATCCCTGCACGACGGCACATCTCTCTCGGTCCTCTCCCGAACCTTAGTCCCCTCTCGCTCGTCTCTCAAGCGCTCCTATTTTTCTCTGAATTTTTTGTCCGATTTTATTGAGAAGAACTCGGGGCTGGGGGCTTTCCGCCGCCTGTCCCCCCGCCTCCCGCTCGGCCAGAAGCACCTTTTTACGAGGTGCCCTGTCTCAACTCGGTGGGGGCCCGGGCTGAGAACCGGGAAAGAGGCGACCGGGGGGCCCGCGAGAGCGCTGGAGCCCAGACGGGAGACGGAGAGCGACACACACACACTCGCGCGCGCGCGCACTCACCAACTCTCCCTCTCGCACACGCACCGCTCGGAGCCGCGCTCGCCCCAAGGCCGGGAGCCTGTGCCCCCCGAGCCCCGGCCCGGCGGAAGACCCTTCCCCACGGGTGCGCGGGGTGGGGGCGGGGCGGCGGCGAGGCCAAGGTGACACCCTGGAGCCGGCCGGGACTGGGCTCTCGCAGCTGCGGCCCCGGGGTGGGGGGGAGGTGGGTGGGGGGCTTCGGTGCGTCTTCTCCGGGCCACCGGGTGGAGAAGTCAGGGAGGGGAGCGCAGCGGAGCCCTCGGGGCCCGGGTTAGCGGAATGGAGAGGTGGGGGCCGGGAGAGGAGCGGGGCCGCGCCAGCCCTGCAGCTTGAGTTTCAAATGAGCTCATCCTTTCAAATTGGCGCCGCTCTTTATTAAATTTGTTTTTCCGGTAATGCCACCCACAGCTATACCTGGGGTCGGATCCGGGCTCGCGCCCTTCCCACCTCGTCCCGAGACACGGGGCGCCCACCTTGCTTCCCACTGGCAACCAAGTTTGCCCAGCTCGAGCCCGGTAGGAGACCCCTTGAGGGCGCCCGAAGGCGGAGCCCGAGCGTGGAGTTCTGTGCGTGCCCCTCCTAGACCCCCGCCGGTTTGATCTAAGGAAGGTTCTGAGTGCTTTAATTTCTGTTTTAAAGGTAAAGTGGAATTGCATGGGAAAATCATGGAAGTTGATTACTCAGTCTCTAAAAAGCTCAGGTAAATATATTTTGCTTAGTTATTTTGTGATAGGGCTTAACGTATAAATACCACAGTACACTCAGTTTTTTAAAAATGTGCTTTTATAGTTAAAAAACTGCTTTTGTTTGTTTTGTTGGTGGAGATAACGTAGTTTAGAAAGTTAGATTTTTTACTTTCATTATATAAGGTGTTTACTGTACTTGGAAAATATCTGGTGCCTTATTGGGGGGTGGGGGGTGGCGAACTCTAGCTGTGTGAAATTCGCTGGGACCGTTAAACTTGTTTATCAAAACTTGCCTCCCACCCCTCACTCCCACCCCTACCCCCAGCACAGTGGCTACAAATGCTTGTCAAGACTTCCTGTGAGATGTTGAGTAAATATTTACTTTGTCAACTAAATTGCTTAACTAAACTTCGCGATTAATTAGTTTTCTTTTTTAGATAGCTTAATGTTGAATAATAAAATAATTCAGTAAGAGGTCAGTATTTTGCATAGCATTGTAAAGAAGTGGGTTGTTTGGAATGGGTGGCAGTTAAAAAGCCAGACTTTTTTAGTCCCTGAGACTACTGAATATTGCTTCTGAGCGTTTTGTTGTTGTTGTTGTTGCTTTTAAGATATGTTTGAAGCTAAACAAGTATCTATGAGTTCTGTAGCTACATTTAAGGGCACTGTTGTTAATGAAGGAGTAAAGAATTTTGTGGAAGTTGGATTTCTCCACAGTGATTTGCCTGCAAGAGAAATATCTCTGTGAGGAGAGAATGAGGGAGAACATCTTTGTTTAAAGCTTATTGTGGACTTTAAATTGGGCCCCTTTATTACTCATTCTAGATTTTTTTTTCTTCTCCCATGTGTTGTAACTTAGTTTATATCCCGTTCACATACATTTCTTCACCATTAGTCATTAAGTAGCTGGACTGAAAACTCTTAAGTCTTTGAGTTGCCACCTTTACATTTTCTGATACTCAACAGTGCAACCACTTACTTGATTTTTGCCAGGATTGAATAGATTCTAAAACAAACCATAATAATTTTATAAATACTTAGATGTTTTGTTGAAGAGGTTTTAAAAAACTGTGGGCTCATTTTCAGATACTTTTATTTTAACTAAGCAACAGAATATCTTCTTTGCAAATGATTGTGGCGTATCAGAAAGCTTATGCCTTTAAAAAAAGGCAAAAGTTATGATTTGCAGTTTCAAATGAAATATAAAGCTAGTTTTTCTCTCTAGGAACAGATGTAATGTGTAGCTGATTGGTTTTTCAGTTAAGTATTCTAAATTTGTATACTATATATATATGTGTGTGTGTACTTTTTTTTTTACCTGAGAAATCCAAGTTGAAGCTTTCTGATGTATTAAGTATTTATTAAGAAATTTAAATCACTCATCTTTTACAACACTTGAAAATTTGATGAAAATATTGAACAAGGTTTGAAAGAACCACCTAAAACATTTGAAGGGCTATTATTCTATAAATGCCTAATTCTATTGGCTGTATAGCTGTTCTGAGTCCTTTTTTGGGTTATAATTAATGAAAAAAAAATCACTAGAATTTTAACTTTGGTGAGTTGGTGTCTCATTTCATGTTATGAAGTGCATTATCTCATGTTGCAATGTAAGTAAAATACTAATTTAAAGTTACTAACATCTCCTAAGACTTCTCACAAGTATACTTCTTCTAAACTTTTTCTTTCAAAATGCAGGAGTTATTTGCTGTTAGCCAGAGTGTCATTTAACAAATTTTGTTGTGTTTATGTAAGAGTTCAGAATTAAAAGCATGTCCCCAATTTTTAGTATTAATTAAATAAAGAACAAACTAGGACTTAAACAGCCTTATTAGTACAAGATTTCTTTGAACATGTGGGCAATATAAAATACCTAGGAGGTAGATTAAAATGCGCTGTGTATGATTCACTACACTGAAGACGTCTGACATACCAAATGTATGCATAAGCTGCTGTTTTAGAGGGTTGCATCATTTCTGATTGGATGGCTTTACTCTTTTTTTTTCCCCCTTTACTTTATTGGTTTAAAATGCAGGAATTAGTTACTTGTTCTGCAGGCTAAGGGAGAGATGTCTAATGACTGGTGTTGTGTACTGAGCTCAGACCCCTGGGATGAAGCAGCTGTATGTTCTCATGTACAGGGCACTACCACGGTGCTGGCTTTCAAAAAGCAGGGTACTGTGACATTTGAAACCAAAGCTTTTATGTTATATGGTGACTATTTTGGTGTTCCTTTGTTGCATTTCCATGAAATTTAACAAGTTAGAAGCAAATTTGTCAGCGTTAAGTCAGTTCTATATGTGGTTTTTGTGTTAGTTGAAGTGAAAATGTGAAGAAAACAATTCATCCTCCTTGCTTGCTTACTTAAAAATCATTCAACAACTGAGTGCTCATTTTCTTTATATTCTGATTTCTTTCTGCTCTCAGGAATGAGTTTTAATATTTACATTCCAAATAGACTTTTTAAAGCTAATGATAATTTGGGAGGAGATGTTTTTATCTTAAGTTATGAAATTATTGGCATGCCATTTGCTTACCAATTGGGTCTTTTGTTAAATGTCATTCTAGCATCATTTTATATGTGCTATTATAGTAGACAGACTATATAACCGTTATATTCTCAGGGTCATCAGAAGTAGAAAACTCTTGTTTTTTTTTTTTCTTTTTGGCACATGTGTTTCATTCTTATTAGATGCAAATTATTGTAATGTAAATCATAGACACACCACCTATTTTTTACTTTCTAAGTTGGTTTCAGGCTCTGCTGAATAAAAATCTTTGGATCTTTTTTCTCTATTCATATTTCTTGGTAGTGTATATGAATCAAAGATTGCTTAAAGAGGAAGAAACTGGAAATTGCTTTAAAAATCTGTTAAAAGTTGTGGAAAATGCCTTGACAGAAATTTCATTTTTCTTGTTGAGTTTTTAGTTGGAAAAAAATGTATATGTACATATCTGTATATGTACCTACACACTTGCACACGCATACATACACACACACACATGCACCCACGTCACATATATTGTTTGGAGCGAGAACATACGCTAACCTGAATGTGCTTTGTAACTAAAGTTGAATGATTCTGTGAGAAACAAAACTTTCAAAAATGTGATTTCTGCCCACTGCTAGGAAGTAACCAAGTGGTATAGACATGCTTTCACTGAGATGGTGTGAATACTATGAGATAGTGTAGGAAAAAGCTATGAATTTGTCTTTCATGAGTTAAAAATCAGTAATTGTGTTGTCTCCAATGCAAATGAATTCAGTCTCCTATAGGAATGTTAAAGAAAACAGTATCTCAATTGTATTTTGCTTGTATGTACTACATTGTGTATAGTTGAATTAAATACCAAAAAGAAAAAAAACAAAAACAAAAACAAAAAAAAAAAACCATCCAACCTCAAGCCCTTCCTGCAACAAAGGCTTTTGCTGCATCAATTTTTAATTTTGAAAAGATTTTTTTAGGTTAAAATTATATGGTAGGCTTCTATTTAAAAAATTTGTTGAATTAAAAATTGATGCCTGAATTTAATTAAATAGATTGCATGTGTGGATATAATGTATATTAATATAAAATACATGTCAAACTGTAAGATAACTTTAATTTGGCTTTGAGTTGGACATTACATTTCCCATTTTAAAAAAGGCTAATAATTTTTTCATATGGTTCTAGGCTGTGCCATAAACAATTACACATTTTTGTAACCTTTAAGAGATAAGTATTAGAATTAAAATAGAAGCAATAAAAAAAACAGTTGATAATTCAGGTGGTAGTGTAGGTTTAAAATTCAAGCTTACAAATATTAAAAAACTGGTCATTTGATGTTTTTACCTTATTTAGTTAAATATTAAAAGCCACTGAAATCTACAAATCAAAATAGTTTTTATGTACTGCTTGATTTTCCAATTTGTCAAATTCATCTCCATTTTAAATTTGTATTGTAGCAATTTATGAAAGTTTTAAATGGCTACATAAACATTAATTCTAAAAGGTGATTTGGTGATATGTGATGCATTTGTCAAATTGTGTTTTTTAAAATAATATTTCCTTGTAATTATGGCTGGGTATAAGATGACTAGTAAGGGATAGTCTCAAAGGTTTATTTTTTATTATTTTAACCTGAGATTACATAAAGATGAGAGAAGATTAGTAATATTTGTGTAGCACCTTTTATACGTAATGATATAATGTATTTTCTTTAAGAAGAGTTTTTATAAAGGACATTAGGCAGTTTGGAACTAATTGCATATCAAAATCAACATTTCACTATTTTGAGTAAATGTTTTTATTTTATGGAGGTTGATCCAGTTTTTCAAGTGGGGGGGGTATGTAAATGATGTTGAAATGTGCATAACAGGATAGGAACTTGGGCACATTTATTAAAAGTCAAAACTATGAAACTCAGATTTCTACAGGAACTATTTACACATATTTGATACTTCTCAGCTTTCTAAATATTTGCTGTCTATCGCTGAATCACTCTTCCAAGTCTTCTAATGGAATTCTCAAAAGTAGATGAGCAATTGGTCAGTTGTGAGAGGATATTATTTGAGCTAAGTGTGTCATCTCTGTGATTCAGTGGGTGTGTGCACATGGGTGTCTGTGTGCGTGTGTGCTTTGTGGGGGACAGTAGTTTCAGACAGATGGTATCAGGAGGGAAGAGAAGGAAATCTTTAACTGAGCAACGATTGCTCTGGATTTCAGTCTTGACAGGGCAAATGAAAATTGCTAGGTGTTTGAACTTTGTGACAAAGGGAATCAGTATTTGCTTTGAGTGATGCATGACTCTTATAGGTGCTTAACCTTGTGGAAGCCAGGGCTCAGGTACCTGTGTGGCTTCTTCAGTGAGCTTGCTGCTGGGAGGACCATCCAATGCACAATCTATTCTTCTTTCTTTTGCTTGGATATCCCTTCTCACTAGTAGAGTTAGTTAGCTCAGTGACTCTGTGAAGGCTCTGATGATCTATAAGCCATTTTTATAAATGATAGAAAATTAAAGATTTGAATATGCA